ACGTCAAACACGCCCACTCCAAGGGGGGCTACTTCTAAGATAACCTCCCCGCCTATGCAGCTTGAAATCCCTTAAGCTGTCGGCGCTTACCCACTAGCGGGTTATTTATGTTTTAACACGTGGGTTACTGGACGTTCGTACCTTACCATGTGTTCCTATGGTCGTATACGAGGCGTTGACGTGTTGGCCGCGATTAGAGGGAACTCACTGCTTGGGAGTTGTCCAATGAAGACTGTAGACATACAATTCACCGGATATCTCCGAATATTTTGACGTCGAGCACCCAGATAACATTCAGCAACGGTGACAATTGTGACAACTTGCAGAGAGCATTACTATCCCTGTATTTCCGCCTTTCCAGGCAATGACTGCATAAGTACAGACGAGAGGCTTGTGAGCAATGACCAAGCCTGAACGATGATGCCGTATGACTCCCAAACGAAAGATGCAAATCCGCATGCATCCCATAACCACCATGCCGTCTCCCATTTACTTCCGATCATAACAGAGCAGGGTATTCTCGTCTGCCATACGTCGTAGAGGCGGACGCTCGGAGCGAGACGTCGAAGGGTGTCTGCTCGTCCATCGCCTTCCGAATCCTCAAGAGTGTGACGTTGGCTGCTCTCAAGAGGGTAGGCGCTACGTTGCGCTTACGAGCCGGGGTTGGGGTTCATCTAATAACATATTAATGTCAAGTTAGATAATAAGGTAGATGATGGAAAAGCTTACCTTTCGCTTGCCACCGGTCAGGGTGACGTTGACGAATCGTCGGGTGTATGTGAGTCTCTTCTTGGCGCGGCCCTTGGGGGTCTTGGGCTTCTCTTGCTTCTCGACCTATTATAATACCGTTGTCAGCCTCGTGTACCGCTTTTGCCGTACAATTGATGACCGTATTCAAAACAAGTGCGAATTCGATGGATGGAGCGCATGTTCGAGATGTTGAAGGGCGTAGTTGCTCGCGAGCGATATTTTGCCCCGGAAAACTTCGTCGACAAAGCGGGTGGCGAATCGACAGAAGCCGGTTCTAGGGGGTCGCTAGATACTCGAAAAATTGATCATCGTCGGGGGGGGGACAGATCGCCGATATCGTACATGCGCTCCATCATCGCGACGATGGGATTTTCGAATGACATTGGATTTCAACTAACCTTAGGGGTCTGAGACTTGACCTTGCCTGTAGAAACGTTGTTAGCGAATATTCATTTAATCTCCAACGATGCGACCATATAAACATACCAGCACGGGCGAGGGATCCGTGAACTTTTCCCATTTTTGCGAGATTTGTGGTGTGGATTGATTCGGTATCGACGAAGTTGAGAAGAGCGTGGAAGAAATCGGTCGATGTGGGCTTTTTTGCTGATGAATTCGCAAGTCTTGGCACTTGGGAGGGTTGGAGATGAAAGAGTCACACCGGAATTAAGGATTCGTCAAAATTTCCGCAAAGGGCTAAGTAAACCCTAGTCATATGACTGCATTGATAAGATGATGATTCCCGCTAGTGTAAACACTTCGAGTATGTAATATAATGGGGTTTATTGAATGAGCGGGTCCGAGGCAAGGCAGATACAGTGTGGGGTTTCTTTGTCGGTACTGATCTGTTAAGATTGATCTGGCATTGCAACATCAAAATTGAACGACGTGGAGGCCAGGTATTTATACCGTACAATCACCTTCACGGATACACCTCAATTTACTTTTTGTACGTGGGTTGTCAGGGGTGACTGAAATAAGAACAAAGCTTGTTGTATAAAGTATTCTTCGAGCAACTATAACCGTATTGATAGTTTCACTAAACCACCAAAGACAGTTCCTTTCCCGCCGTAAAGCGGCCAACTCGTCCATAGATTCTAAGATGAACGGCATCATCTTGGGGGTGTTTTTGGTAAGGCTAGTTGTTGGTATCGTACCTGCGTACTTAAGTACAGATGTACAAACATTTAAGGTTTGGTGATGACTAAGCCTATTGAGGCAAGTCCCCAGAGTCATGGACCCACACGGAAACTCAATGCCCAGGTTGGTCCCACCTGATACATCATTCTCACATGGGTCTGGATCGTTTGACCTGACCGGTGACCGGCCTTCGTCTTCGTTGATATTTAAGCCATGAACTTTTGGCAGACCGCTAAACGCCATCGGAGAAACAGTGCAGACATTTAATAATAAGCTCTCTTCTAGTCTCGAATCGTAATTTAAGCCTCAAGAACTCTATCTTCCTCTTTTTCCAGTACTCCCAGACTGCCTAAGTGACGTTGCCGCGGTTATCCGAGGCTTGGTGGCTGGCTACTAACCCGTGCTGCACTTATTCCCATACCTATCTCCATCACAATGAGGCTCTTACATAGCTTGCCCTTCCTCTCCCTAGCTGCCCGCTCCTGCATAGCGGAGCAGGCGCCGCCGCACATCCTCACCAATCCCGTTTCTCACTCAGCTTACAAGATCCCGACCTCTCAGGAGTCCGCAGTGCTCGGCCGGCGCATCCTGGCCTTGACTCCACTCGGCACGCTCGCCACCGTGTTCCCGGATACCTCCCGTAGTCGCCAACCTGAGGGTCTAGGCGGCATGCCAATAGGGCTGATGGAATACGTGGCGGACTGTGAAGATGAAGGAAACCCCACCGTGCTAGCCATGAACATCGGAACGAGCTTCAGAAACGTGAACGGAGGCTCCAATATCAGCCTCGCCCAACAGTGGACACCTCCGTATCCACCTGACAAGCGCATCAAGTCTACCGGCTTCTTTGATTGGCTATTCGGCCGCGATGGTGACGCCCCTAAAGAACCCGTACCCTACAGCGCCGTCAACCTTCCGCGCTACAGTCTACTCGGTTATATCGAGAAGATCGACCCTACGCGCACCGATGCGCTCGCGTCGTGCTTCGTCGAGAAGCACCCCGACGCCAAGTACTGGCTCCCCGGGAACCCGATCCACGAGTCCGAATTCGTGAGACTCGTCGTAACTCAAGTCTACTGGATCGGCGGCTTTGGCGACCGAGCTTATATCGGCTGGATCCCGGTCGACGAGTGGAAGAACGTCACTAAGGAGGAGTGGCAAAGCGTGAGCCTGCCCGGCGAGAAGAAGGGTTGGAACGAGTGGAGCACCTCAGATCTCTAAGCATTGAATGCGGTTTCTTTTACGAGCGTCTCATCATTGCGCTAGGTCATTCTGTAAAGGTCTAGGGAATGGGTTGAACGATTAGTGGCAGCTTTTTGGCTATCACTTGTTCGTTATGTAGGTACTAGCTACACTAATAACTAACGATACCTTTATCAAGCCGGTTGCATAACGGAAGCCATTACTTGTGTTCCAGCAATGCGATCATGGTAATTATTTTGACTGCTATCACATACATGGCTCTGTTCGCTGCTCAAAGCGAAGCCTTGTCCATGCAACGCTAGTTGTTGACGTAATTAGTAGTAGTTGTGTTGCAATAGAGAAGGTAGTAGGTAAGTACTTCTACTGTAACTCCAACAGATATCTATCTGCGGGGCCAAGCCTCGGCCCGGGGCTTCTCATTCTTTACTCCAAGGGCAACTCCTTGTCAGTAAGGGCGACAGAGCAGGAGAATTAGCCAGGTCTGAATAAGGGATACTAAGAATCCGAACATTCAACATGGGCGATTATCTAGGTGCGCCAAATGAGACGTTGCCAGACCTGCCTCTACCGCAAGGCATCGTCTCCGACTACATCGACTGTTCGACATCATGTGGGCTCACATGGCACGTCCTGAAAGCCGGCGATCCTAGCAAACCTCTCGTGCTCTTCTGCCACGGGTTCCCGGAGCTAGCTTATTCATGGCGCAAAGTGCTTCCCAAAGTCGCCGAAGCAGGCTTCTTCTGCGTGGCAATGGACCAGCGCGGGTACGGGCGCACTCGGGGGTGGCCACAACACCAGCCGTTCGCCGAAGTCGACCTCAACGACTTCGTCTTCACGAATCTAGTGCGCGACCTCGTGTGTCTAGTCTACGGGTTAGGATACACGCACGCCCACGCTATCATAGGCCACGACTTCGGCGGCGTGAGCTCGGCCTTGGCCGCGCTCATGCGGCCCGATATATTCCGCGCTACGGTCCAGATGAGCCACCCACACCACCGGCCCGCCGAACCGATTCCTAGCCCGGGTGGGGAAGAGAAACTAGATATCCAGGCCGAGCTCGCGAAGCTTAGCCTGCCCCGCAAGCACTACAAGTGGTACAACTCCAGCCCGGGGGCTACGCGCGACTGGGAGAACCCGGCGCAAGGCCTCGAAGCCTTCTTACGCGGATACTTCTACCTGAAGTCCGCAGACTGGGCAAAGAACGACCCGCGGCCGTTGGACAAGTGGGGCGCCGCGGAGCTAGAGGCTATGCCGGAATACTACATCATGAGGGCGGAGCACTCGATGCCAGAGGCCGTAGCAGCCAACATGGTAAACGAAGATGCTTCCATGACAGAGCGGTGGCTTTCCAAAGAGGATTTGAAAGTGTACTGCGACGAGTGGACCAGGACTGGCTTCCAGGGCGCGCTGAATTGGTACCGTGCGCAAACGGCGTCAACGCCACAGTCCAAGCGTGACATGCTGCTGTTTGCAGGCCGTAGGATCGAGGTACCGTGTGTGTTCATCAGCGGGAAGAAGGACTGGGGGAACTACCAACAGCCCGGTGCAATCGAGGGATATGAGGATCCCAAGTCTATCAAGGAGGGCTGCTACAGGGGCCCGAAATTTGTCGAGGGTGCTGGACATTGGGTGCAGCAGGAACAGCCAGAAGCTGTGGTCAGGGAGATTCTGGCATTCTTCGAAACATTATGATGGTAAATACAAGTAGTTATCGACTATTATTTCAGTTGTGCATGTGTTATTAAGAATAATAGTGTTAAGTATCAGTAAGCAAGTAAAGAAATATCTATGTGAAAGTACATAATAAGCAGATACTTACATGTAAATATTCAGACTACAGATCAACATGAAGAAGTACTCAAGTAGAAGGCAGAGAATTAAAAAGCAAAAAGGAAGTGGAAAAAAAACACCACACCCCGGACTCGAACCGGGAATCTTCGGCTTATTGATTTTTCACAATAGGAGGCCGACGAGTTAACCATTTCTCTAGTGCGGCTATGAATGCCAGTTGGTGTTGCTTGCTCATACCGTTTGTTATTGACGTATATTAGGGACATATGGATGCGCCTGCCGTTACTCCAGAGGTCTGCCTGGGCAAACGTCAGGAAGGAACGACGTGGAAGCCTTGTCACTTCTCGAAATCGGCAGCCGTGAAAAGTAATATACAAGCGTGCTTACCTAGCTGCACCTACCCGCGCACAGCCGCTCCACATGGCTGACAGGCTTCCAATAGGATGCCCTACCTTCGTAGTCAAACTCGGTTGCCAATTACCACATTAGATGAATACGACTGGTTCCTCGAAAAGCAAACGGCAGTACCTGGGTCCTAGCTTATTCCCTTGGAAGAACACTTCCCGCGTCCTGTGAATAGTCTCACTAAAATACTATAGAAGAAGAATAGTACCATGAACCTGGGTAAGTATTCCTATTCGAAGATAACAAAGCGAAATATCTCCTAAGAAGGTTTCTAGGGAATTACGCATTTGTGGCTTGGGAAGCTAATGTATTGATGGAGAGACTAAAAGGCTATCACTCGTCCAAATAACTGCAATACTTCATCTTGAGTATGAGATGCATGAATTTCTACCAAGAGTATGTAAACTTGAAATGACGAGTTAAAGATAAGTATAGGCGAACTTGAAGAACTAAACATCTTGATAATATCTACGGATAGGTATAAATAATAACGACAATCCGTGACTGTGCTGTTTTAACGCTTGTTATAAATGGAATAAGTACCTAGAATTACGTACGCACCAGCCTCGAGTGCTGTTTCAACGAACTCAGTCGCGCCTCGCCGACGCTTAATGTTAATGCTTTCAATAACGTCAATAACGTACATCTGTACATACATATATGTAGTCACTCTAGCTAGGCTGAAGCTCGCCCGGCTTGATATAAAGGGAGCTGTAGGTACTCGTTTGTTTCTTCCCTATTCTATATTGTAATCTCGGGTTTTGAGCATTACGCTTCTACTTTGTAGTAAGTACAATCTTGCCGGCATGAATCCCCTTAGCCATAATTTCACGAGCGAGGTCTGGGTTCATGAAGGAGTAAGCAAGCCTATTCCGGCCAAAGATATACGGATACCGTTCAAGTCACGGAAGACACGAGTTTTTATGCCGATTGCTCGGAATTCAACCTCTGCCTTTGTTATGCTCTTTTGGAGAATTTTCTTTCCACAACCCTTCTATATATCATATTTCTTGCGGATCGTATTCTTATGGCTCCGGGGAAAGCCAACCACGTCTAAACGAGAGACTATAAAGACAATACGCAACTATTTGTAGGTCAGCCCTAACACTCTACGTTTATTTGACCAGTGTTCGCCTATCCCCTATTGTCGATCTAACTCGACGGTAGCTACTCCCAATTCTCTTAATTGTTTCATTCATATCCAGGGAATCTGGCGGGAAATCATGGGCTTGGAGAGCGTTCTGGTTTGCATACTTTCATTTCACTGCTGACCTACAGGGAGCAATGCGAAATTATGTTGAGGCACGCCGTCGAGACCCAGAATTTCAGGAGTACTATATTATCCTTTTCATGGAATATGAAACTCCGATCGAAATTCCCTGTCCTCGCCCGGGCCCCATCGACGATGAACTTATCCTTGTGCTACTGAAAGTTTCTCCGACTTCGCCTCATTCCAGGGTGGTATCCTACAAGTGTTGCTTCCAAAAGATATTGTGAGGTTGGATATCATAGAGGTATGCTCAAAATTACATCAATTAGCTCCATGGTGTAAAGACTCACGAACCGATAGGCGATACAAGTAGCTCCTCGGGGAAGTTACCCCGGGCCGCCTTCAGCCAACCTTACCCCTGGGTTACAATCAACACCGGCAAACGAGATTTTTCAAGTCCCACGGACATTTAAAGGGACAACAGAATTGATCAGCCGTCTCATTACGAATGGGGCTTATCGTAGGAGAGCTCCCGTTTCTGGAACTGATAGTACCTGGACACCTCCTATGAGCAACGACACATCTACAGCTAATAGCCCGCCTTATACAGCCAGCAACCTGTCCCAGGCAACTACTAGCTTGTTCTCAACAGCTAGCAGCACGTCGCCGACAGCTTTAAATTTCATTTCCGGTTGGAACCCTCGACTGGCAAGTTTTCTTATCGTCACTCCCACCATACTGAGCATTTTAATCGCTTTCATGTAGCCTCTTGTCGCTGTTAGTACTTTGGGGCCCAGGACGTTCAGGCCAGTGTCTCTACCGCCGCCGCTCTGGCTAGTTATATTGCGACTGCAGGTGAGTATCAGCAAGTAATACGTCTACACACCAGGGCTTCGTAGGTTAAGTTCTATAGACTCGTTATTAATTGCTCTTACTACGTGGTACGACAAAATGATCAAAGCCAAGGAGCCCGAACGTGTTATGACACAACTAGCTATGGGAAAAGCCCAGAACCAAGGTTAAATCCAGTCCAATCTTGAACGCTTCATAACCATAGTTCGATTATATTGTCTGGCAATATTGCGCCTAGGGGGCTCTAAGGTAGACGGCTGATGATTAAGAATAGGAACAGAGAGCCAACTCATACCAATTGAACTGTGCTACAGATTTACAACGATGTAACTTTATAAGTTGGATATTGTAATATGTTCATGTCTTGGATTTTGTTATCAGTTTTCGCTACCACTCTATAACATGTCCAGTTAAGTTATGATTCGGGCAATTACGCCCATGGTGCAGAAATTAATCACACCACAATCAATCAGACCGCTATTGTGTAAATTACTCTGCGCTGTATCCTATCGTACTAATGCGTGTATTCCCTCTATAACCCTACTACAAATGTACAAAGCAGAAAAATAAACGCGCAGCCCACGACCCATCGTAGACGACCAGTTAACCGTCCAAGCTCAACGGGCCCTTCTTGCTCCTCTGGGCCCCAGGGGCCCCCGACCTCGGCGCAAGCAAGCTCCTCTTCAAGACCGGCGCCTGGGGGCAGGGCTGGAAGGGCACACAATCGGGCTGGCACACGGTGTTCTCGGGCGGGACCTCGCCGGTCGCGAAGTACTTCTTGATCCAGCGGTCCCTGCAAGCGCCCGGCGTGGTCAAGGTAGCATGGCCGGCGCTCTGCTGCAGCAGCACCCGCGCGCCGGTGTGCTCCTTGGCCATGTTCACGGCGTTCGCGAGCGGCGTTACCGGATCGTACTGGCTGGACACGAACAGCAGCGGGGCGGCCGGCTTGCCCGGGACGGGCGGCGATGCCGCCGCGGGCGTCGTGAACGGGCCCGTGAAGCGGTACTTGGGGCGCGTGAGCCAGGCCTTGCACCCGAGGCGCACGCGGGCCCAGTTCGCGGCGAAGTCCGGGGTCAGCGCCTTCTGCTGCGCCAGGAACGCCAGGAACTCCTTCTCGCTCAGGTCGTTCTGCGGCGTGGCGTCGCCGCATGCCACGCCGAGCTCCGCGTCTTGCGTCCAGGTGTACGTCGTCGGGACGGTCGACGGGCAGAAGGCCGCGGCGCTCGGCACCCCGAGCGCCGCGTACAGGATGCTGAAGTTGCCGGCCATAGCCTCGGCGAGGGTCAGGGCCGTGGCGGGGAACGTCTCCATGGGCTGGTAGAGCGCCGAGAAGACGAGGTTGAGGACGTCGGACTTGGTGATTTCCTCGGCGCTGCTGCCGGATACGTATTGCGCGGGCGAGCGGTCGAGGGCGTCCAAGAAGTCGTTGACGCGTTCGCGGATGTCGTTTGCGCTCTTGTCGCCGGGCTTGTACAGTGCGCACGTGGTGTTGGCGGCGAAACAGGTGGTGTAAAAGGTGGCGAGGTCCTTGTCTGTGTCTTGGAGGTTCTTGGACCATTTCTGGATTATGCGTTAGCTCGTGGGCAAATTAATGTGTAGGGAGAAGACACTTACACCCTCAGTGTAGTCGTGGACGTCCACGACACCTTCGAGGATTACGCGACCGATGCGCTCGGGGAACATCGACGCGAAATAGTTTCCGAGGACAGTTCCGTACGAGAATCCCCAGTACTGGAGTCTCGGGACGTCCTTCTGCTGGCGAGCATGTAAGCCTCGAGGGCCTCCACGGGTGCGCAATGCCGTGCCGGCAGTGCCGTTGGAGTTTCTCAGCTCGTCGATCTTGTCCACAATCTCGACCATGTCTCGGGCAACGCTAGCTGTAGATATGTATTTGAAGATATCAGGTCCATTGGCACACAAGCGTCCAACCGATCCTATCAGAGAGGTCTGGCGTCTAACGTTATCCAGCCCGTCGTCAAGGGCGCCTATTGAGCGCATCTGGAGAGCATTGATATCGCGCGACAATTCATTGTTGTAACAGTCGGCCTTGGGCTCCGTTCGACCTACGCCGCGTGGGTCGAAAGATAGGATCTCATAGTGCTTGTCTCCGTCCGCAATGCCCTGGAGGAGCTTGCCGGCTTCGAGCAGGAACTCCACACCGGATCCGCCCGGACCGCCTGGGTTGGTGACGATGGTGCCGCCGAACGAGGGGTCGGTCTCGGCCACGGTAGCCGGGAGAGCAATGATAGCTATAGTGACACGGGATGTACTATTGGTGGTAGAGTTGTTCAGCCAGTCAAGCGGAACCGACAGCTTGGCGCACTTGTACTCCTCGTAGCAGGTGCTATAGCTGAGCGATGTGGACGGGGTAAGAGTGGTCCAGTCGAATTCCGGGGCTTTGGGGGTCGTCTGAGCCTGACCGAGTGTGGCCAGAAGGCCGGTCAGCAGCGCCGTGGATTTCATCACGGCCAAGGTCCTCGCTCAACTGAGGCTACCACTTAATTAATAAATATACTAGTTGATATATTAAGACCTGTTGAGTCTCTGAAGATAGAAACATAATTACTAGGAGAAACAACGTCGGGGTCGACCTCTTTAATAACATTCTAAATTCCAGTAGGCTGCGTCCTGAATTTCCGTTCCAGGTATCTGATCACCGCTTCGCCCGGGAAGCCTATAGCTGCGTCTTCTACGTAATCATTGCTACCGTAGCTGCGCTGAGCCCCCTTCGCGGGGAT